ATAATATATTATATATATTTATGTCTAAGTTTAAATCATAACACCTCATGTGGCAATGTGGTTAGTGTCTTCTTTTGTATAGATTTGATCCAGGTTCGAATCCCATATTTTACATCTATTTTTCTTAATTTTAGTTTAACGAGCCAATTTCGAGCCTAACACGAGCACGAATATTTAAATCGAGCCGAACACGAACACACTGTTCACGAGCCGATTTCGAACACGAGCTATTTCGAACGAGCCGAACACGAGCCAAGCCTGAGCTCGCTCAAGCTCGGCTTGTTTACAACCCTACTTGAGATAACCAAAGCTGATGGCAATCGTGCAAGTTCACTCGGCTGAGCCGGAACACGTGTCGACACCAGCTCCCTGTAGCCTGGCCAATGCCTTTAGAATTTATGTATCTAGCTTTCTGAGAAGCTCCAATATTTTATCTCTTGCACTATCACCATCTATTGACATCCTCAATCACATGGATTGCGTGAATTTAATCCTTCGTGCTTGTATGTTACGATCATGTTGGTTGATTGCGGGCTCTGCTTCGGCTCGAGTTCACCCACTTCTTCTTTGGTACTCCATTGTTCCTTCAGCCTCTGTCGTATGCTACCTTTTTTTTCCCATCACCTCACACATTGCAAAGTCGCAGCCCTTTTACACTGTTTCACGCATGACCCCAAAGCCTTTGATCACTTCGCTGCACAACCTGACACTAAATTCCAGGCTTCACTTCGTCTTCTCTATCACGGTAAATCACACTGATGGATCGGATTAGTCATCCTTCCTGCTTCTTCTCAGACCGCGCGCCTTCTTCTGCCGCAGACAACCGCACGAAGCCGCTCGTCTCATCGATCTTGTAGGTGCCGCGATTAGGTAGTTGCAGTGATCCCAACGGGGCCTCGCTGGGTAGCTCCAATCGCCACTTTATCGCTGCACCGCAAAGCTCCTAAGCAGGATCCCGTCGTTGCCTTCCCGGTTTCTGTAGTGGTGCTTCAGTCGCGATCATTCCCGCGATCCTTCCAACGGCGCAATCCCGTCCCACACGATCCTGTAGGCAATCTCTCTATTGCGATCCTTCACGATGCCATCCCGTCCCAGGCAACTTGGCGAAAGTGGTTGCGAGGTTTAGGGCTGAGTTTCTGATATCATATTGGAATATTTTTGCAATTAAATTTACTCATTTCATTAATATTTTGACTTATATAATCTTACAGCATGTACAAATAAATCGTTAGGTACTTTTATTTACAAATAGAACCCTACATTAGATTCATATCTCAACGATGTTAGAAATGATTTGCATAGAGATGAGTGATACCAACGTTATCACTAAGTGAGAAGATGTCAAGTTCAGGGAGTAAGAAACGAACCCAATAATGCTCAACATTAGCGCTTGAGAGAGAGATATTTAACATTGGCAGAGGGTAGGTTTTGGCCATGATACATGATGTAAGAACTTTTATGTTCACATATTTTTACACGATTACATTGGGTGCAATTATTTGCTTCTTTGCATTATCACGGTCCTTATGAATGGATAGACATGTCAAATCAAATAGCTAAGGGCATAAGTACATGCTAATGTAAAACTAGTAGGAACACCATTGATTTCCCATCTTCTAGCTTGAGTGGCTTTCTCATCAAAATTTTGTGATGTTATTTCTAAATCTTCATTCCAACTTCTAGTGTTTTATTATTTCCCCCATCCACGAAGATTGTATTTTGATGCATGAGGTAGTATCTTTAATTATTTTTATGCACTAGCAATTTATATGCTATTTTGTGCCGTGATTCAATCCAGGGCTTGAAATTAATTAAGATGGGCATAGACGGTTCGACGATGTAAATTAAATCTTCTATATTAACATTTAATTTAACAAATGAAAGAGTCACTATAAAACAAATTAAAACGACACAATTTAGAAGTATCTCATTATTGGTTGTCCCTGTCACCTATAAACATTTTGTCGTCTATCGCTCATGTTTTAATTTTTTAATTAAACCAGAAAAACTAGTTAAAATAACAGTGAATCAAACAAAGCTAGTGAATACTCATACGTCTAAAATACAATAATACAAGGAAATAGAATAATAGGCATGACATTTAAGTTTTTTTATAAATCAATGTAAATATTTGACATGTTATTCAGAGAGTTTATATCAATATCATATTAATATCATTTAATATCTATACAACCGTCACTGGAAGCACCATCTAGAAATTATATCATTTAAGGTAGTTCAATATCAATATCATTTTCCATTTATGTGCACTGATATATTTGTGTTCCACTACTAGTACCTTCAAATGGTGTTTCATCATAGTCAAACATGCATATCCAAATATACTATAAATCATTTTGTTTACATTCTAAATATCATCTAAATATCATCTAATATCTTTCTTTTATAACATGCATGTGTAATACATAAGTATAATTATGTAAATCATTCACATTCATTTCTACATAATCAAATTGAATAATGAGCTAGGAAAATTATATTCTAATTGCAGTAACAAGATATCTTGATTAATGCGGGTGATTTAGAAGAAATACAATATTATTATCATAATTTAGAAGTAAAATTGCTCATCCTGATGACTAATGACAATTAATTTATGCTTGAAATTGTCTTGATGTCACTTCATCTAAGTTTGAAACATAACATAACATGTTATTTAATTAATTTATTATTTTAATAAACCATTTAATCAAGTATTAAATTTTCTTAATATAATTTAGTATACTTTCTATTAAATAAATATATTATTATTATTATTACATTTTAATATTTAAATCTATTTAATAAATCTTGTCTCTGTCGAAACCCGCATGATCCAAATTTCGATATTATTATAGTGTTATTTACGAACTTCTGCCTGCGGCTTCTTTACCTGCAAGAGAGTGGCTCAGTTTGAAGAGATAATGTTGCATCCGGACTTCAGACAATTGACCACGTGGCAAGTAGGTGTTGTGAAATTTAGGGCGAAGAAAACACAAAATCGACATAAAACCAGAAGAATGCAGAGATTTACGAGTTTCGACAAGATGCCTACATCCTCAAGAGCGAGCAACGAGTTTCACTATTTCAAAGGAGTTATATACTCATAGGGTTGCACATCTATTTATAATAAAACCCACAGAAAAATTTACAAACACGCCCTCGTTCCCCCCAACTCATTAATCCAAGAGACAACTCTTCACACCAAGAGACATCTCTTCATTCGAGGAGACACACCTCTCCAAATCTAAGAGACTCCAAATTCCTGGTAAATGAGTCATATCTAACAGTAGACCCTACTGTAATACCCTGGTTAGTGTGATTTTTAAGAAGATGTGGGGCCCACTTGCTGCATGGCTAAACAAATTTGCATCCGGGGAGTCCGGATACAAAATTTTTCCAGTTCGAATGCTTCGGTTTTACCTTCCGCACAACTTTTCTTCTTCGACCTTCCGCTGGGGCACGATCGAAGCTCCTTCGCCTCCCCTTCGACTCAGTTCGACAGTAGCGCGATCCTCTGCTCCAGAGTTCGACTTCGGCTCCATGGTAAGTTGGTCTCCCTCTGCAATCGCTCACTTCCCTTCTATAAAAGGCCGAAATAACCTTCGGTTTCCCGATTCATCGCCTCATCTCCACTCTTCGTTCCCTCTTCCTCTCTTTGACTTCTCGATACTCTCATTTCTTCTCCCCCTTTCATTTCATTTGGCTCGACACCTCCCCTTTCACTTCCACAATTCTTTGCTTCCCTCCCCATAAACAAAACCGTTACATTTTGTCGTTTTATTTTGCATGCTTCAATATTTTGTTCCATCTTCACTGAATAGCACGTCTTCTTGGGTGAAATTTGCCGTCATTTGCTCTTATTGACTTGATCTTCATTGTTTGTGTCCAAATTAATATTTTTTTCAGGGGCAAAACGGGGACTTCTTATCAGAGGAGGAGATGTTTTGGAATGTTTAGCAGGCGTTAATATTGTGGCATTCGATAAAGTATGTTAGTTCAGGGTTGCCTTAAATTTTAGTGCAAAGGTTTTACTGTACCTTATGACGCATGAGTTTAATTTATCTTTCTATGCTCTTTTCTAAGTTTTGTTTAACATAAGTCACCATATTTTCGCCTTCTAGACTGGGACACTTACAGAAGGAAAGCCTGCAATTACAGCAATTGCTTCTTTGCTCTACAACGAAACTGAAATTCTTCGCCTAGCTGCTGCTGTGGAGAAAACGGCTTGTCATCCAATTGCAACTGCCATTTTAAACAAAGCTGAAGTTTTGAAGGTAGAAGTCCCCAGCACTAGCGGCCAGTTAACTGAACCTGGTTTTGGATCTGTGGCAGAGCTTGATGGATCTTTAGTTGCTGTTGGGAAAATGGATTGGGTTCATGAACGTTTTCAGAGTAAAATAGCTACTCATGACCTGATAGATCTCGAAAAGCGTTTAGGTCGCATTTCATCAAATAGAATACCATCATTGAATCAGCCGAGTTCAGTGGTTTATGTGGGCCGTGAAGGAGAGGGCATAATTGGTGCAATAGCAATATCTGATTCCCTTCGCCCTGATGCAAGTTCAACTGTGAAGAGGTACTACACTACAACAAAACAGCCACACCCACAATTTTGCTGCATTTTAATCTCTCATGTTCATAAGAAAATAATGTTAGAATTTAAGTTTGTTTCATTACATCAATGAATGCCACCTTTTCAACAAACAAGAGCATATTCCTTCTGAACTTCTCCATTTCGCTATTTATTTTTTAAAGGAATTAAGTGTCAAAATAGTCCTCAGTGTTTACATGGGACAGGTTTAGTCCTAGAGTTTATAAAAGTGTCAAATTAGTCCGCAAGTCTCTTTAAATTGAGGCTGAAATAGTCCTCTGTTGGGACTGTTTCAGCCCATATTAAAAGATTCTCGGGAATTAAATTAACAGTTTTTCTTTAAAGAATTATCTCTGTTTATATTCTTAAGATCTTTATTTTTGAAAAAGAAAAGCTATTTTTATTAAATTACCAGTGATTTTCCTCACTCTTTTTCCCTTTGAACTGTTAAGGCTCCAAGAGAAGGGAATCAAAACTGTCCTCTTATCAGGAGACAGGGAAGAGGCAGTGTCTGCTGTGGGAAGGATGGTTGGAATTGAATCATTTAGGGCATCTGTAACTCCCCAACAAAAGTATGATTTCATATCAAGCTTGCAAGCTGAAGGAAAACATGTTGCAATGGTAAATAAATCCTATTGTTCGCCACTATTGGCTGGTTTGTTCTTACCACATAGTTGTCTGCATGCTGAAGTTCTGCGATTTCTTATGCAATGTAATTAAATTTCGAAAGAAGGCCATACTTCGATTAGAATATAATTGTATGAGATTATCCATTTATTCTCTATTCTCTTATTCGTTAAGGTTGGGGATGGCATAAATGATGCACCATCTTTAGCACTTGCTGATGTTGGAGTTGCTTTGCCAATTGATTCCAAAGAGAACGCAGCATCCGATGCGGCTTCTGTAATACTTCTGGGAAACAGACTTTCTCAGGTAATTAATATTCAAATTTTCTTTTAGAAATCTTTTATACTTACGATTGCTTGTGCATTAGTTGTATTCATTATTCATGCATCAAATTAACCATATTCATTATTATAAACTTTATTGGAACCTTCTTAACTCTTTATTTTTAAGTGGTGGATATAGTTTTGATGAAAGGATCACAACTTAACTTCAAATTTCAGCTCCTTTTGTTTTTGTTTTTTTTTTTTTCTATATAGGATCATGGGTTTCTTCGCCGTGAAATAGAAGTCACCTGTGCAATATAATTTTATGGAATTTATTAGTATTTTAAATAGCAATTTTCTTTCAAACATTGCAAGAGAAAATTCAGCTGTGGTGGAATGATTACTACAAGCTCAATATGTTATAGTCTAAACGGAATGATATTTACCTTCAAAATATTTGGATTATTAAAGAAGCTTGGTTTGTTCTTACCTCCATTTTTTTTATAGGAAATATGAGAGTAAAATATATTGAAAATAAGATAAATAAAAATTTAAGTATTAGAATGGAGGATGAAGGTTTACAAAGCGCCAACGTTAGAAATCAAAAGGGCCAACGTTAACATGAGTTTGCAAAATAGATTCAACACTTCCCCAAGAAAAATGGCGGATGAAGATTTACAAAGCGAGAGCCAATATTTTTTATGAGTATAGTGATAATGAAGACTATTATAATTTGCACGTATACTATTGATCAGATTAATGAAGATTTTGTTTTTGATTTGCCTTTTTTTTTTGGCAGATTGTTGAAGCCGTAGATCTTGCTCGAGCAACTATTTCAAAAGTGCATCAGAATTTAGCATGGGCTGTGGCATACAATCTTGTTGCCATACCCATTGCTGCAGGAATACTACTCCCACAGTTTGATTTTGCTATGACACCATCACTTTCAGGTGAACCGTAAATTAATGGAAGATTTACATACATGACACAATCAATTCTTATCATCTTATGTATTTACATATATAACACCTTAATTTTGATATTTACATTATTATCACTTCGCCTGTGTATGACATGATGTACTTCACTTTAAAACGTTGGTAATAGTGGCATTTTTTATGTGATATTGAATATTTGAGTGTTAGAAATGTAAAAATCAAAGTTTAGGCGTTTTGCATTTAAATTTATAAGAATTGTATGGTATGTTTCTGAATTTGTATCCACTCGTAATTGATGAATGAAATATATATAGATTTCATAGAGTTTTATTTTATTTATTTTACAGGAGGGTTAATGGCCTTGAGCTCCATCTTCGTTGTCACTAATTCTCTGCTTCTAAGGCTGCAGTTAAATGTTGGGAAGAGGGAACTGCGCTGACTAAAGAAAAGATGGTTCTTTTGATTTCCCTCTCAATTCTTTCCACATTGTATATTAACTTCTCTGTATTAACTAGTTTTCATTATTCGCTTGCTTTGCCTATTTAATCACTTTAAATATTTGAATAATATCAAATATATCAATTATTCTTCATTAATGCTTCCATATACTCCATGGTTTCCCAACAAATGCTACAAAAATATATGTAGCACTGAGGACTAATCTGCATCAACAACTAAGATCTACACATCATTAGCCCTGAAACCCAAAATTATAAATATCACAAGTTCTTATGAGAGTGGAGCTGGTGAGTAAAGATATGGAAAGTGAAATCATGGCGAGTGCACATAAACATTGTAATAGAAAAATAGAGGCATTAGCATGCATGCCACATGGTCCTTGTGTATTTACATATTACATCTAAATTTTCTTTTTATTACTTTTATAGCACTCAAATCTTCCCTACCACATTAAAAATGTCACAATAGTTAATTCATGCATGGATAAGATGGTATGAATGTAAAAATAAAATATTTGTTTCTCCATACAGTTACTCTCCCGTAGAGACTAAAAATTATCTAAATTGCATATTGTGCTTGAGGCATGATCCTTAACCGGTCCGTGAAGCCAACAGGGAAAAATATTACATCAGTACTACGCACGTAGAGTAACATGCGTAGCCAATGAAATCATGCCTCGACACCCGCGCGATAGAGAAAAAAAAAATGGCGCAGTAACACGGAGAATATTCTCTCCCACGTTATTAATGTGTTATTGTGTGTTATTCATGTGTTATTCATGTGTTATTGTGATGTGTTATTGTGTCCTGGGAATATTCCTTGTGTTATAATAACACAATAACACATGAATAACACATGAATAACACATGAATAACACAATAACACATGAATGACACGGGGGAAAATATTCCCCCGTGTTACTGCGCCGTTTTTTTCTCTGTCGGGAATATTTCCCGTGTTATTTAGGTGTTATTGTGTTATTCATGTGTTATTTTATTCTAAGAATATTCTTGGTGTTATAATAACACAATAACACATCAATAACACGCAATAACACATCAATAATGCGGGAGGGAATATTCTGTGTTACTGCGACGTTTTTTTTTTCTCTATTGCGTGGGGTCTCGTGATGTCCTCGAAAGCGACGGCCACGTTACTTCTACGTGCGTAGTACTGATGTAATATTTTTTCAACCAACACTTATAAATTGATTATATTTTGTTACATTATAACAATTCATTAAGGGTCAGAATGACAAAAAAAATGTATTTAAATTATTAGAATTTAGTAAATCCAGATTTAGTAAGTTGCAGAAGGGCTAAATAAAAAAAAATTTAGTAAATCATTTAGATACTGTGAAACTGTTTTGCAACTTATGTGAGGATTTAGAAGTTTTTTAGGTTTGTTATGATAAAAATTAATTACTTAATTTAATTTAATTTTTTTCTTTCTGATTATACTAATTAATAATTCATTATTCATTAATTATCACAAAAGTTATTAATTATTTATTTAACAGTTATTTAACATTAATCAATTATTGATTTATTAGTGGTTAATTATGTTAATTAAGAATGTATTTTATATTGATGAACTACTAAATAATTTAAATTTAAAATGCATTTGTTTTGTTAAATAGTTACATATAAATTTTTCTAATCATAATTAGGTTGATAACATATTAATTAAAAAAGCTATTAACTAATTTAATTAATAAAATTAACTGCAATAAAACCAAATTAAAGCAACAATCCCCCCTTATTAATTTATTAGCGGTTCATTATGTTAATTAAAAATGTATTTTATATTGATTAACTACTAAATAATTTAAATTTAAAAATGTATTTTTTTATTAAATTGTTACATATAAATTTTTATAATCATAATTAGCTTGATAAAATATTAATTAAAAAAACTATTAACTAATTTAATTAATAAAATTAACTGCAATAAAACCAAATTAAAGCCCCCCCCCCCCCCCCCGCCCCCTGCCTGGTGACCTAATCCTCGCGATACAGTCGCAATTAGAGCCAAACTCCCCTCTTTCTTCTCCTCCCACACTCCTACCCGAAACCATGGAGGGAGACGGAGGCACCTTTATTTTCGCTTGAATCTTCCAAATCTGGTATTTGCGTCTGAAATCAGTCAAATCCGGATTTCTGAAATCCGCGCGGCTTTATTTTGTCCAAACTGACGGTCTGGCAGGATTTAGGTCAAATTCAGGTTAAAATCTTGCCCTAAATCTGTTACCAGTAAATTGTTTGAATATCCAACACAAGAATGCCGGATTCGAAAGCAGAGCAAATCAGCGGACAAGACAGCGCCAAGATGGACGACGCGGGCGGTGCCGCCGCCGGAAGAGAGCTGGAGGCCGACGAGCCTCGAGATGCGCGTGTCGTACGAGAGCTTTTGAGGTCGATGGGGATCACGGAGAGGCATTATGAGCCTCGGGTTTTGCATCAGTTTCTCGAGCTATGTTACCGGTACGTCGTGGACGTGCTCTCCGACGCTCAGGTCTACGCCGAACATGCCGGGAAGACTAACATCGACCCCGATGACGTTCGCCTCGCGATTCAATCTAAGATCAATTTTTCCTTCTCGCAGCCCCCATCCCGCGAGGTATGTTTCCACTTGCAACGTAGTAAAAGACCGATGATGTTGATTCTTTGGGTAAATTTTGTTTGTGGAGGAAGGGTAACTCGGCAGTGGGTGGACTGCAATGACTAGTGTTTAGGGCTGATGTTTTACCAAGAAGTAGTTTACACGGCAGTGGCTTTTTATACTCTTCAGTTGTTGGAAAAAAGAAGGGCATGGGAGCGTGAGCTTAGTTGGCTTAGTTTGCTTGGAGGGATGAACACTGGTGGCAAAAATTCAGCTCACTGTACTGATGCTAAAAGTTTAAGCTAATGGAAATTCCTATTGTTAGAGATGAGGGTTAACTCCATTGACATGCATCCTGCATGGGTGTCTCCCTTGGGCGGATCTAGTGCGATGGCAGCAAGGCCATAAGCCTCTTCTGGCTTGAGCCTACCCCAATATATTCTTTGATTGGGCGACGCAGCCTTGTTCTCAACATGCGCTTTATTTTAAGACTTGGGATCAAACATTTGGAAGAAATAGAAACTAAGCAGATAGAGAAATTGCAAACATATATTTGTCATAATCTTAGAGGGACGATTAGAGTCTAGAGAATTTTCTATCTGGCTATTGATGTTTCAACAGCTTGCAACTAGTAGAATTTTGAATTGTTTTTAAGATAATAAACCTTAATTTTATTATAGCATCCCTGCCAAAAATATTTCTTCGGTTTTCCTTCAAGTTATCCCTTGAAGTTTGATCAATAAAACCAGTTAGCATTCATGGGAGAGAAAAATTACATGAAATTGATAGCACTGATTGAGCAATGCAATAATATATAGTCTAAAAGCTTAAAGTAATACATAAGAGCCTTAAATTATACTCATAATTTGATTCTTGTTTCATATCCATTATTCAGAGTTCAGCTCTTGTTTGATATAAATTGTGAAATTGTGCTCCACTCAAGTGTGGATCTTAAAATAGGTTCAGTGTCATTGAATGGAAAGAATGGGATATGTAAGGTTCAACTAATTTTAGCCTCTAGAGGCTCGAAGGGGTTGGCTTAATCTGACGGCTGATTCATCCAATTTGCTTCTCATACTTTATTTGGCATTTTGTTATGCAAACATAATGCTCTATCATTTCAAATTTGAAGAAATATAAATAAAAAATGTTTGTGAATTTGGCTGTTGCTTACCTTTAAGTTGTTGAATTCAAATGAACACGAAGAAGAGATTTGTAATACTGCCGGAGCATGAAAAATTATTTTATTTATTTATTACTTATTTTGTGAATATAGGAGATTAACGACCTGCAACCGTTCACTTCTGAAAGAAACGAGTAAGAGCCATAAAAACTTTACCCTTATCAAGATGAGGTATACTGAAAACAAAACCAGAAAAGAAACTGGGTAAGAAAGGTGGCTGAATAAAGTAATACAGCCCTCTCCAAGCCATCTGAACTCATTCTATAGTAGTAACTGAAAACAATAGAACCATTCAAAACACTCCACAGCCATTTGGAAACTTGTGTGCTACTAACACCATGTAGAGACCAGTACAAGTCTCCAAAGCAGAATCTTTCTAGCATCTCAAGTCACTTAGCTTTCAAGTCAACCATGTTATAATTGACAATAAAATGCTGAAATTGGTTCCTCTACTATTTAGGATATGTTCATCTTGGCATTGTAGTTTTGCTTATCTTCAATTTGGGCTCTTAATTATCAAATTTGACTATTTTTGTGCTTAATATGATTCTTTGGTCTCTCAACTTGACTTTTTTGATAAGTTGCCGAAGCAAATTGGATAATAAGAAAAGTCGAGGGTCAAAATGAGCATATCTTAATAGTGTAGAGACAAACTTTGATCTTTTTTATTTATGAAAAATGAAGCAATTGGCTTTACTTCTGCAAATATTATTGGATTTTGCAACCCCTAAAGTATGAATACCTTTTTTTTCATATGAGAAATACCTATTTGTTGACTATAAGTGTCAGAAGGGCAAAGAATTTTCTTGACACTTAATCTGCAACATAGTCAATAGCAACATTACCTTCTCTCCCAATATTGTTAATTTTGTAATTGACAGAAGACATCAATTTTTTGGCCGTTCTAACAAGTTTAAAATAAATCCATTACCAGCTTTCATGATTATGTAATATGTTATTGAAGTTATCATTCTTCCTCTAGAAACACATAAGAATACTCTTTCTAGTCATTCTCTAATCATTTTATAATTCCATTTGAATTTATAGCCACAACACTCAGACGTCAATGCCATGGTCCAAAATAATCTTAGCAAAGTCTTTCAAAGGGACCGTGGTTAGGGGGATTCCCACTAAATTTTTCATAGCCATGTAACACGATATTAAAATGAAACCCAACCATCTATGGATTCTTAAGACTTAAAAAAATATCTCTTTTAACTGTTTCCATACACATTTCATAGTATTTCTTTAGCAGTGTGCATGAATATAAATGCCAGGGATAGAAGTAGAATCATTAGCAGCTATCACATTGAAAAATTGGTGATCCGTGAAGCACACACATTTATCACGCAAGTATACGTGTCAATCAACTAGTATATGATTATGAGTCCGTGTATCGATCTCACGAGGAATGTGTCAATTCTCAAATAAGTCGAAGTACTGACTCACTAATCCTAAGTTTAGTTCAAAATGATGATTTTTTGAGATTTTTGAAATATCTAAAATTTTAATTTCGAAAAACAAGGCTGGCGCTAAGTGAGATATGTTTTAAATAGGTTTGAAATAACTACCTTGAATTGGGTCAATGAATTCTTGATTCCTCAAAGATATTTTTTTATTATAATTGTCAATCGAAGTCTTTTACTTCTTGCTTTTTTTTTTCAAGATATAACAAGTATTGGAACACCATATTATATTTAGATTCTCCTAACCCTGTAAGAATTCTCAGGCATACACAATGCCCAATAGGTTTGCAAGAATTTACTGGAAATATTCATATTCGACTAAACTCTTATGTTTTAACCCAATTGTGCTTCTAGTCCTCTTCCAACAGTCCTATATTACAACTAATTTTAACTATCCAAAAGGCCAATTTAAATGTAAATTAAGTTTGAAATGTTAAAACAATAACTTGAAATCATATGAAAGTTTAGAACTTCTAACATGGATTCATTTAGTTTTCAAAGAAGTTTAACCCAAGAGAGCATACGAGTTTAAATGCTTCGCATGATTTTGAAATAAAATATTTTCTTTATTAAAAGGATTAAAACCAATGATACAAATTGAAGAAATAAAAATTAGGTTTTGATGTATTCCTTGTTTTCAAGTCTTTATCTCCACCAAAGTTATCCCTCACTTAGTTATAACTTGCTCTCATACTCACTCTAAATGAAAAGAAAAATACTCTCACAACAACAGGTGGTTATCTATAGCATGAAGCTATCAAAGAGTCGCCTTTTTTTTCTGTTCGCATACGACCAAATTGTAATTAATTAGTTTTGTGGAACTTACTTATAATATAGTTAACCCTAACATAACTAAGACTGAAGAATGTGTTGTCGGGAATGATTCATATGCTTTAATTGTTCCAGTTGTTCCCTCTAGAAAAACTTACAATCGGCCAATCTGAATTTTGGTGCCATTTGGATTTGCATAATTGCAGTTGACTCTAATGCTAACAATTTCATTAATAGATGCAAATAACTCCTTATACACTCTTATACCACTTCTGTTTTCTTTCTTTTCTTATTATTTTTTTTTTTTTGTTTTTGGTTTGTGAAGAGAAAAATGGTCTAAAAAACTTATTGCACAAGATAATAGAAAATGTCTAGTCAGCTGTTTTTCAAGGAATTTTCTTACAGCACGCTAGAGAATCTTTATTTATACCTCCGTAGATTAGGTAAACTTGTCTAATGATAAATTAATGTGAGTTAGACCTTCGCCCATACTTATCTTTGTACCAGTTCCAGTGGTTAGTTACTGATACTGCCAATGATTAGTTTCAAATACTCTCTTTATGACATGACAATTGTCCGTTAAGTAGCATATCATGGTGTCCTGGAGATATTTTGTTGGTAATGGATGTTACCAAGAGGGAAAACAGATGTTCAATGTAACTCTTTTATCTTGTCCTGTACTTCATAATACTTTTCATTAGTAGCTCTGTAATATGATAGGAAGATTTACACAGATACCAGTCAATTCCTATTTATTTACATGTCTAAAACCTAAACATCAATTTTTACTATCATACCACCCTACCTATGCATGAAAAAGTGTATTTTTCTTTCTTTAAGTTAAAATGGTGGTATTTCTAACGTGATATGAAACATTTGGGTAGAATAAATGTAAAAAATAAGTTTCGGTGTTAAATATGTAAATACATAGGAATTGAGTGGTATGTATGTAAACACTCCAGCTTAAATCACAGCTTCAAGTGCTTCAAAACGACCATTTGTAGTGCCAGCACTTTCCAGAACAGTACTCCCAATTCTGGAAATGACCCTCGTTATCACTTCTATTTTGTGCTAATTTACTTTTTACACCAACATAATCTGATAAATAGCTATTCATTAAGATTCTTTGTTTAATAAGTAAATTTATATATCCATTATGTTCTATTCCAAAAATTTCTTCATTCTTGAGTAGCTTTGTAAATTCCTGGTGGCACACTCTTCTCCAGGTTCTTCTTGAACTGGCTCGCAACCGAAACAAGACACCATTGCCCAAGACAATTGCACCGCCGGGTTCGATCCCACTTCCACCTGAGCAGGACACCCTCGTCACCCCCAATTATCAACTGTTAATTCCTAGAAAGCAACCTGCACAGATTGAAGAGACTGAGGATGAAGATGGTCCGAATCCCAACCCTAACCCTAGCCCTAACCCTAACCCTAACCCCAGCTTGTCTGTTGAACAAAGGACAGATGCTGAGCAGCAGCAAATGCAAGCGGTTCCTCAGAGAGTTTCATTCCCTCTTGCCTCTTCTGCTGCTGCGCCTGCAGCTAAGCGTCAGAGGGTTTGAGCTATGGTACCTGTGTTTGTTTTTACTGGACATAATTCGGGTCATGATATCTTAATTTTGGATGTATGTCTTTATTTGTAATGACTAAAAATTTGATTATTACATCATTTCTTTTTTTCCTTTTTAATCCTTTTTTTGTATGATTTGATGAGTTATTTGCACACTTGGGTGGTGTTTTCATAGAAATTTGTATTATGATGTTATTATTTTGCACTATAATTTATAAAAAATTATAATAATATTCATTTTCATTCTATATTATGCTATAATTGAATATGCTATAATGTAATATTAATATGTATATTAATCTAATTTGTTTTTTTGTGTTACTTCTTAATTTAAATAAATTAGTTCCTTATACTTATTTATATTATCTGAGTTTATAAGAAAAATATAATTTATGTTTTGTTTTATTTGATTGGTGTAAAATATTTGAGTATTAATTTAAAATTTATTTTATTGTTTATTTGTTTTGATTTATAATATTAATAATTTTATATTAAAATGGTATTCATTACTTTGTTATAGTGTGTGTGAGAGAGAGAAAACTTGTCTTTATAGGTCTTTTTGGGGGTGGTTGCAACTTATTATAACGTTGTTGCGCAGCAGTTGCATCAATAAGTTGTTGCGCAGCAGTTGCATCAATAAGTTGCTGCACAGAAGTCATTACGGGGAAGTTGTGTGTATGTTTGTTTGGTGTAATTGTGCAACTATTGTGTTGTGGTTGTTTATGCTAAAATAACTTTTATGTCTCTGTATTAATGTGTTGTTTATAACAGAATTAGTCATGGTTACCCATTTCAAACATAAAAAATAAATATGTTGTTTGAATATTATCTAATAAAAATTGTCACCTCACTAAATATCGAATAACATAACAATCAAAATTTAAAATAAAACAATTAAAATAACAATTAATATCACCAACACAACATTGCTTCATCACAACCAACCGACTGCCATGAACACAACATTACAACTATCACACCACCACCACCACATCATCAACGCTGATATACCGCTAACACAATATTATCACAACCAAGACACAAAACGACAACACAACCACCACCACCACATCATCAATACCAACACCCCCTCCAACCCACATCATCAACACCAACACTCCCTCCAACCCACATCATCAACACCAACACACCACCACTACCACCACCATCACCACATCATCACGACCAACACACTACCAAACAAAACACCACAAACCAACAAAAGTAGCCCACCATGGACAATGGCCGCAAAGCAACAATAACAACCCATCATACACTGGAAAAGTCACAAACTAATAGTCATTCACATAAAAAATAGTCGCAATACACTAATAGCCAACCACATACCACTGACCGCAACCTCAAATTGCAAGCCATAAGCAGTGCACTGTAATGAATACTTCAATTCCTCCAAAGAGAAAAGACACAAACAACAAGCATCATCACTAGAAACATGATTGAACCATAAGCCACAAAGAGCAAAGGGCTTGAACCTCAAAGAACATAAACATCCAAATTTCACTGAAAAAAATAAATGCAATCGGACATTACCCCTTTCTGAAAGCATAGACTTACTATTTTTTCATAGAGCATAATCACAATCCAAAAAGAGCAATCCATACGGCTCAAAGACAAAAATTGCAAAAACCTAAGTGCATGACATCAAAAAATAGAGAGTAGAAATTACTAGAGGACTACAGAGAACAAGGAGAACCAACGAAAAAGGCTATGCAGTTGTTTTCCCACCACGAGAGAGGAGAAGAAATTACCCAGGGCAGAGACACAAGTGAGGAGAAAGCGGAGCGGGGCAGTGGAGAGGAATTACTCAGGGCAGAGACACGAGAGATGAGAAAGGAGAGCAGGGTAGTTGTTTTCCCACTGCTAGAGAGAGTGAGGAGTTACCGAAGGCAGACACGAGAGAGGAAGAACGAGACAAAGGAAAGAAGCGAGAGAGGAATTATCTAGGTCAACGAAGTAATAACCACATGAAAAAATGTGGCCAGCGAAGTCAAACTCGTGGGCCGCGTTTAAAGAATCTATTAGAATAAACTTCCACACTGGGATTTTCAAACAACTATTTTAGCGATAACCCTAAGCCCAATTCACACAATACTGGCTTTATGAAAACCGAGATAAAGATGCACAAAAGAAAGACAAAAATCATCACGATGAGCTAATTTATTTATACGCTGAATTTGGCTTTTTTATAAGTAGTTGTTTACAAAAAAAAAATGACACAAGCGATAACCAAAAAGTCTCTGGCAAAGCTAGAGAAAATATTAAATCCGGACTTTGGATGTCCGGATAACAACCCAGATGCAGCGAGGAGGGCGGAGGTCCGATTCCTCCGCTGCATCATATTTTCTCGGCAGTGCTACTTACTATCAAAAAGACATGATGTGATACGAATAAAATTTGGACGGTGCAGATCTGTCGCCTACTCTTTGATATGGACTGCTGCCTCCATGGAGTGGATGGCTGCCTACTTATGTTGGAAGAAAGTGGATGCGAAGAAAATACAAAAGGCAAAATCTTTTGTTGAATTTTCTAATTGCAACCTACCCTTCTCTTCTGAAGTTTCTCTCCCACTTTCTTCCTTTCACTGCCTTAATATTAAAAAACAATTAATTTAAAAAAAAATACAAATAAATTCGTAGCTTTTTGGCACGATCGCTGTCACGTGAGGCCGCGTGAGGTTTAGTCCTTGTTTAATATTAAATTTTCAAAAAAAAAAAACCTATTTTTAAGATTTTGGAAAAACAATATTTATTAGGAAATTTTAATTTAATATGTTTTATAATAGTGAAAATTTAAAATATGTTTATAAAATGATTAATTATGTCTTGTTCATAAAATGATTTTCCTATTTATAGATGAGATGGTACAACATGATGATATTATGATTTTGACATTGGTTTAAAAGGGTCAGTGCTGGGGTATTTCTGGTATTTTGCATGCATGAGTCTGTCGTTCAGCTACTTTTTGACTTAGTCAGTAGGCCTTAGTAGGCTTCGGGTTGGCATGTTCAGTTCGATCAGTTGAGCTTGATTGATATGCGACGGCTGGCTGATACGACCTGATTGTCGGTCCTTAGTCATTAATGAGGAACTCATGGGGCATCCCTTGGATGGTTGGGATATCATGGAACCAAATATTCTCTTGGATCAATTCCACATATGAGTTGTATATTACATCTGGTTAGTTTTTTCTATAACGGTTAGCTCTATTTTTGTTTTGCCTCGCACCTTGTCAAACAACTCACACTTGAGTGATCCGATCGTCTTTTTGTTTGCCTCTTGGCTCGTTCTACTTTGGCCTTGCTAGCCTGGCTTATACGACTTAGCTTTGTCGGACAATTAGACTTCATGAGCTTCTGTCAGCTGACACTCCTTCAACATACTCTTCCATTTTGGACCTTTATATCCTCAAACCTTAATTGCATTTTCTTATCGAGGTTCAAAGAGCGTTAAAGGATATTCAATCAAAGTTATTATTATTATTTCTGAAATTATCACATTTTTATTTTTACGTTGCTGTCACACTAATTGCCTATAAATAAAATAGGAGCTTTGAAATTAATAAAATAAAGTAAAGAGTTTATTTGTGTTATTCTTTGAAAATCCTAATTTTTAACATAAAAACAAATATATTAGATCCATAAATAAAATATTACATACTACATAAATTTTTTAAAAATATATATAAGATCATAAAAAATTTCATAAAAAAAAAAAAGATTGATAATACTTCATTTTCTTTGTTTGGTGGGTCTGTACTAGTTTAGAGATTATATTTGCTATTTAAAGGGAGAATATGAGTTTGTAGAGAGAAAATTTGCTTGTCCTGGTTACGTGGAAACCTACACATTCAAGGAATAAAGCGAGCAAGGGACAGATACATAATGTTTTTATATGAAATCCTGAAGATGGGAGAAAGCTAATGTTGATGATGAGGCGGTGCTAAGAGATGACAGATAAGGATGTGCGGGGAGGCTATTGAGGCCGCTGAAGATGGTAAGATGGGTCTTTCCGTGGCGATGGAGATTGTAAGACCTAATTTTGATAATGAGATGGTGATAAAACGTTATGATCCACCTTTTTTGAGAGCATCAACCAACTAATGCAAGAAAATCATCATAATCGGTGGAGAAAATACATCGTTCTTCTTTTGGAAATAGAGATGGATCCATCTAAATGTGTCACAAGAAGATTTTGAAGGACTCAAATGAAGACCAAAATCAACCCACTTTTTAGGGTATTGTATAACAAAAATATGTCAGGTTGACGATCGACCCAGCTTGAATGACCAACCTAGTTTGGACGATCAACCCAGGTTGGACGACTTAGCTCGGATGGTCGACTCATGATCCGGCCCAGACGATCGACCTAGCCAGATCAACCCAACCTGGACGACCAACCTAGCCTTGACGACCAACCAAGCCTGGATGACCGACCCAACGTAGATAATTGAACCAACTTGGATGACTGGCCCAGCCTAAAGGACTCACCTAGTTTAGCCAACTGAGTTGTCCTTACCGACCCATTGCCAAATAAGCTTAACCGGCCAATTTTGAAACATTCGGACGATAAACCTATATATATTACATGGGAAAAATATAATATTATAATTATTGTACCATAATCTCTATGAACATATGATCATTTTATGAATAAGACGTGTTGGATTATTGTTCATTATTGTTTATTCTTCTCTCTCTCTCTCATTTTACTTACACTCCATTCCATGAGCGTGATTCACACACAAATCAAGATTCAGCAGATACATATGATATGACATGAATTGATGATAGATTGGTGTTAGAGGTGGCTGAGTTAATTCTTCTTTGGAGGTGGAGATAGCACGACTCGATTATAATTGTAAAACGCCATTAGAATGTCATAAAAGCCATTGAATTGGTTGAATTGCTTCTAATTAGCTGTACAGATATACAACATGGAGTTTGCAGGTAATTATCTTAAGTCATTAGAATTCCAGATGTGATTGAGAGTTATTCTCCTGAGAGGAGGGGATTTAAGCGTTTAATTTCAGCCAAAGACTAAGAGTTAGTGGGTAACTTAAAGAGTATTTGAATGATTGAAGCCAGTGTAGGACTTGGAGT